TTAATAAAAAAACAATTTTAATGATATTAATTATCAAACGATTGCAACTAGATTGAATCTTTTGAAGCTCTATATATTTTGGCCTGTACATATGAATTATTTTTTAACATTTTTGTTTTCATTTTATTTTGTAATTAATGCATAAATAAATAAAATAAATAAAAATAAATTGTGATTGCAAATTTTAATATAACATTTTTTTTGTATAAATCCTTTGTACGTGTACCATCAATTTAACAAATTTTTTTTAGAAAATAGTATAAAATTCGAACGAGCTTTTTTTCCATTAAAATTGGGTAAGCCTATAGTATGCTATAAAATAAGATAAATTGTAGAATTGCACACAAATATTTTTTCTCGCGTCTTTTGTAAGTAATTACTTCTCTTTCTTCTTTAGGATGGTAGCGGAAGTAGGCGAAGTTCGATCGTAACGAATTTTACGTTCACTTATATACCGCTTTTTATCGTTCTGCGTCCTATGGCCGAGTCTGCGTTGATGCTAAGGTTCTAAATAAGGGTGTCCTTAGGAACCCTAAAAATCCCCGGCGGTACCTTTTTTTCTGCAACCCCTATACCTTCTCCCTTTTTCCCTGTTTTACTCTCTCCACCTCAAAGAAAATCGTCTCCTTGGCACAATGTACATAAAATGAAGTCAAGCGGTTTTAGCACCGAATATGTCCTTCTTTCCCTTCCTTTACCTCCAGAAAGATAAAATTGAATTCACAATCTTCTACATCGACAGAAGTTATTTAAGACTTTTAATTTGATTTTCAAAGTCAAAAGAATGAAATATCTTTCATCAGATTACATCATTAAGCGATATAACTGGCAATTCTATTTAAACACTTTTAAATTCTAATTAATGAATTTCCACTGTAGCTATTTGATTTCTATGTTTATTTTTAATCAGTTAGAGGAAAAGATAAATTTTAATTTACAACTGCAAAATGTAAAATTATTATATATATAGTGCTGAAATTTCAAGTTTTTCCCAGTTTACTTACATCGAGTAATCCTCCTTCAAGAATCTTATTATATATATCTTATTATCGCAATCGATGAAAGCTGGATCAAGTAATAAGGGGAAATATATAGTTTCACTGCTTTGCTAAACATCAGTTCTTTATTATTTTGCACTGTCGAGCGTGTGGCGACATTAAGGTAGATTTTTCCATTTATTTGTATCGTCCCGCATTATTGAATTCCGATAATCCGCGACGCCGCCGGTGTAAGTCCTTTTACAGTACACTACGATTTACGATCCACAACCCCTGTCGCTTCCCGGCGCCTTTTCCTCTCTTTGATTTTTAGGCAAGCTAGTCGAAATTATCAGAGTTCACTCACCTTTTGCCGTTGTTATTATAATAGACTTGAGGAATTAAATATTTTTAGAATTGAATTTTTCTAGAATGAAGCTGAAACGTTTTGTATAGAAAATGTATAGACTACGGACAGAATGTGTTAATGAATTTTATTATAAATAAAGAGCTAAAATATGTAGAATACGAGAACAAATTATAAATACAACAACGATTACTACAATCAACAATGATAATTACGGATTATATTGGGTGTGGGAAAAAGTTCGTGGCGTTTTTCCCGTTAAATGTAACGGGAAAATAGCCACGAACTTTTTCCTACATCTAATATTATAATTTAATAAAATGCTTTGCATATATAATCGAACTTCCATAAGCAAAATATTCCATCAAACACATTATTATTTGGAGATAGTTCTACTGTTTCGCGCAAAATATTTCGTGCTGCTCTTTCTAGCACTCGACAGACTTACGAGTAGCAATAAAATTGCAGGAAGTTTATTGTGTCGTATCAGTTGCGCAATCCTGGGTCCTCTAATCGAAGTTGTAAAAACTTCGAGTGTTTCTCTTCGGTCATGGACCCGGATCGTACGTCACGAGGCAATACAAGCGATTCGTACACTCGCGACATACCAATTCAATTTATTTCTTCGACATTGGCGTTGAGTCTTCACGGCGAGATGGATGGACGGATAAATGAATGTACGTGGCTCGTATGGGTCTCTCGAGCATCCGAGGATGCGTCAAGGACTCTCCTCTCTCTCTCTCTCTTTCTCTCTCTCTCTCTCTGTCTTTACTCAAATCCACGAATATATTGGTCGAAGGAGCCACGATATTTTTCTCCTTTCTCCCTCATATCTCTTTTCTCTTTCACTTATTCTCGCATTCTCTTTCCCTGCTCTTCACTTATGCCCCTCGGGCGGTCACTCCAAGTACTCGAAAACCTTCTCCACGTAGTCTGGAAATATACTTTCATCTTCGAAGAATCTTGAGGATGAACAGAACGTCACGTATCAACGAGAACAAAGCCGTGTTTCTGAGCTTCTGAAATAAATAGGGAGATAAGAAAAATTTATCTCAATCTATACTCATTCTATATTTAGATACAAAATAAATAAGATACATTGATAAATGATTAACAATTTTGTTGCTTTATTGTTGCTATCACTATTTATTTAAATCCAATTTTTTACTTTCTATAGTTAATCTGTAATTAGACCTAATAATATCGTAAAAATATTTTTAGTTGCGATTCATTATTAAACTGATGGTTTAATAGTGATAGATAATTTTTAATGTTCATAACTAAAAAAATATTAACTACAAAAACACAATTTTTATATTACCATCAGTTTAAGTGAGATCAGTTTAAGCCTAAACCATAAGTTAACCAGAAAATGAAAAACCAGCTTTAAAATGGTTACGATAATATTCTTGAGGCTTCGGATGCTTTCTATATAAAGATTATGCATTTCGCGGATTTCCTCCGTGTCCAGATTCATTCTTGCAGTGTATCAGGCTGCTCCTCGCCCTGATGAAGTGGACTGCAAGGTTCACGAAACGTTGCATTCCAAGAATTCCACGCATAATCTTTATATAGTTATATTATCTTTATTAGTTGTAAAAATTATCTAATAGTATAATAACACGAAGATTCTCTACTTATCACAACGTTGCGAACATTCTTTTGTTGTCTTTATTCTATTTTTTCCTTTGTAATCACAAAGTAGAAAGACTGATTATTTACTATGGTTATAAACGTCGTCTGCTGACGTTTTTTTCTCGTTGGCGGCAGAGCTACTCGTTTCCGCTTCCTTCGTCGCCGTTTCGCTAGCCTTTTCGAAGTGGCTACCTTTCAATTTTCCTTTCTATTGCAGTTACTCTGGCTTGTGCTTCTTTCACTACCATTTTTGTCCTCTTCTTCAGTTCGTTATTAAAACCTTCCTTTATTACGGTACAACTGTCTCACTAGCTTTTTCATTCCATCTCCAGCTCGGAAAGAATCTGTTTCAACAGACTTTTTTCAAGACACTATTAAGATTCACAGATTTTTTGAAAGTACCTCGTTGCGTATCTCGTTGCCCTTTTCCCTTCGCCGATTATGAGAACGTCTAGGGCGTTTTCTAAAACTTCCATCGCGGGATTTCCGGGCTTCCATGCTTCTTCGTCCGTTAGTGCCCTGATCCAAAAATGCGTTTCGCCATTGCATTCTTTTTCTATCCAGCTCTATCTATTCCCCTCTCACTCACGAAAATCTTTATGGTGTTTCTCAATCACCGCCTTCTTAGTTTATCCACTATTATCGAGACCCACGCCACGTTGCATCCTTCGAATCTTCCACCCTCGCCGTCTTTTTACGGCAGTGTACTTCGAGGCCCGCGTACTTTTCTTCTTTTAAGGACTAACGTCCCGCGGAAACTGGTTTAACGAGCAGGGCGGGCATGAGCTTTGTTGATGCCGACATTATTACTTCGCGCGTAAGAATTACCGGATAGGGAATTCTGCATTCAAATTATCATTCTCACATAAATGGGAAACGAGATCGAACGAAGGGATAAGAGATGTCGTTATCGACTAACGTTTCCGTGCAAAGTAACTTCGAGTTTTCTGCCCGACATAGTACGATACCTACCAGGGATATTTCCCATCGGATCTTCGAATATAAACTTGTAATAAGTTTGAAAGAAAAATTCATTCTTCTCTGATATTTCTTTTATTTTTCTCATAAATTATAGAGAAAAATAAATTGACGAGTTATTACTAGTATGAGCAATCTCCCTTATTTTTATATTATATGTTTATTCAATTTGCGTACACAATGTAACGATGTGTTTGTTAACGATTTGTTTTTAGATGGAAGACGAGGGCAATCACGGCAACGACGACACCAGATGCTTCATTCTATCGACATTGGCCGCTTTGCAGTGGTCTCGAGTTACATGTGTCCTTTGTCGCGCTGCCATGCTGGTTTTCGACAGGTATCCGTTGGTGGACGGCACATTCTTCTTGTCACCCAGACAACATTCGCCTGCTTGCGCTGAGGTATGTTTCCCACTAAAATTTTGCAAGTATCGATTTTCTTATCGAAAAAATGAGATAAATATTTAATTAAGTAATGTAAAAATGTTAATGAGTTTAGTACTTTATTCACAAAGCTTATCTCAAAGCAATTTAATTAAGAAGAATTAATCGATATATAATTTAGTACACCTTGTTTTTACGTCGAATGTTCGGAGAACATTTCAATAATGCCTTAATAAAACATAGTAGACGGTATCTGTCTGTGGCATGTATAAATTACTTCTACATACTGATTAACAATTTAATTACAAATTTTACAAGCAATACTGTGCGAAATGCTAAAATCACAATTTATGTTTTATTGCATTTTTTGCTTTCGTGATCTAATTGCAATATTCTTATGATTCTGTATGGACAAAACGATTTTACTGAAGTATTTAAAAAAATTTAACTAGATACAGATTTGAAAATAATTTTGTTGGATCAAGTAATTAGGTAGAAATTAAATTTAGTTTAATTGTTAAACAATAGTTGCTGTAATATCAAAATTTTTGCAGGCTGTTTGAAATTCCTAATTAAATAATTAATTTGATGGAATTTAACAAAATTATTTTCAGATTTGTATCGAGCGAAATTTTTAGATACTTCAGCAAAATCGTTCTTTCCGTGTGCAAGATTACAATAGCACGTCCGGTTTTGTGATATTTTATTCCAGGTGAAGGTCGAAGGTCGCACACAATTTTTGTCAGCTGTGTGCATGAGTTGTTTGGAGGGCAGCGGCGGGCAGCCCGTACGCTGTCGTTTCTGTACCCAGCCGTGGGATGGCTCGAGCTTGGTTCTCGGAACCATGTACAGCTACGATATCTTCGCTGCAATGCCCTGCTGCAGCGAGCGACTCAAGGTAAGCTCTAAATTCGTGACTAGTCGACTCAGTCGAACTTTGACCCTTTAAACACGTGAGTGTGTTAATACAGCATCGCGAGTAGTGTGCTCTCGTATTTGTGTAGAAAAGATTTTTTTTTTATTTTGACGCCATAATATCTATACAGTCATGATTATCGGAATAGAAGACTCTTTAAATTATCTCTCGCTTGTTGTATACTTATTTTCTTCTCTCAATTTAATATTAATGTGAATTGCGAGAGTATTATACTGATATTTATTTTACCACTTTTTTTTTTTTTTTCAAATTGATTTCGAGATAGATTATTGCGTAGTTTGTGAATGTTGTGATGTAATATAATATAATACGAACTTACAATGCGTGGCGAATTAGACGATCAAGCTGTATGCTCGTTGTATCGCGCCGATTCGTCATGCCCGCCCGCAACGAAGGGAACAACGTCACGAAATGAACGCACCATCGTTCCATTTTCGTTCCAGTGCAACAGCTGCCAGAAACCTCTGATCCACCCTCATCAGCGACTGAACTTCTACTCGGACTACAGCCGTGTCTTTGGCTGTCCACACTGCAGGACGGTCGACGCCCACTTTGTGAAACCGCTCTCGGCCTGCTTCACCCGCGAGCAGTTTCAGCTCTACAGCCAGTGGCCGTAACCATTAGAGAACTTAGCGAACCGCCGCCGTATGCGCACGACCGCGGCTGACTTGTATCCTCTCTTTTACAAGTCGATCTCCCTGTTCCGGACGACCGTGCTCTAGAATCCTCCCCTTGCGACCTTCTAGGAGACTTGACGATGGCGAACGCGCACGGGGGCCGCGATCTTTCCTGGCGCGTGTTGTCGGCCGGATCCACCGATGTATTAATTCCTATTAACTCGCCAAACGCTTTTATTTCGGTCGACAGCTGATGTTGTTTCTTCGTAATTTCTTAGGAATCATTTTTTTTTTTTTTTTAGCAATTTATTCTATGCGATAACGGTACGCGCGAGCCCCTTGGCGCATTCCCATAGTACTAAAATTTAAGATGTTTCTTTTTAATGCCAATTGTAGATTTGTTTGTCTAGATTGATCTTAAGCGGGAGACGTCGAATTATTGACGTTTCGTTTGACGATGCGGGAGGCGAGACTTGCAAAATTAATATGCTTTATTTTCCCTATAACGTTGCTCTTTAAGTTTCTTAAGGCATTTATCGTGCGTTTTGCTGTAATAAACGGCAAATAATTTTTTTATTAGTATACACTATTTGACAATTGTGTCATTACACAGACGTAGTTCTCTGATATAGGTGAGTTTTAACTAGTAAAATTTTTGTTGTTGGAGAAATCTGTGTGTTTCATCATTTATGCACAAAAGTTTTGGACTATGAACTGAATCACATCTCTCTTGGACGATTTCTTTCGGAAACTTCGGGTGACAAGTGTGACAGCTTCGCCGTCTCCCGTTTTATAATATAGTTGAAATTACTTTAAAGAAAAATAAATACATGAAATAAATTTAGGCGGAGAGAAATTCGATATTAGACACGGAAAGGTCGATTCTCTTTATTGTAAACGTGTATAAAGAAAAAAGGAAAAAGAAAATGGCTACTTTCTAGGAAAGATTGGGAGGGAAAGAAAGAAGAAATAACTATCGTTTGTTACTTAGATAATCGAGAACACGTTGTTTTTTTTACATTTTATTAGTTTATACGTTTATGGCGGCCATGTTGATTTTGTTTAAGGATCTACGACTCATTCGATGGGTTTTCAACGTTGATTCGATCGGGCGCATGTCGCGACTTTCCGCGGGATTCGGGACAGGAGCGTTGCTAAGGAACGGACGAAATTTCGCGCCGGTCGTAAAGATAAAAGTAAACTCATTGAAAGAAGAAACCAATTGTTTGATACTACCGCTCGTTTCTGTGTACACACGGTTTTTTCGTCTAGACGAAAGTGCACGACTCTCTCTCGTTTCTCCGATCGTCCCATCATCGCTCATTCGAGTATAGGACGATTCTCGCGGAAAGTCGTGATCGTCCGAAGTAGCCAGTGTATATAATATATTAAGTGGGAGAGAAACAAGTGTGTTTGAAGAGGAAGAGAACCTTCTTTTTTTCTGGCGATGCTGGTCGTTGCTGTCCACCAATAGCGGCCGTCCCACAAACAGACCGCCCACCGTTCTCAAGGTAGTATAGTCGATCGTGTACCTTTTTTACGTTACTTCGATTTAAAAAAAATATACTTAATCCATATGTCGGGAGGTATATTTAGGAGATAATATAATGCCCCGTGTGTGTGATGCGTAACGCGATGAGGATTGTGAAGCTGCGCGACTACTTCACGCTTTTGCGTAATGGGTTTATTTTTGTTCGTCTTCATCAGCCATACATCTGATAAAACCAAAAAGTATCGTTTTATTTTCATGTAATATTGACAATAGTATTTTTTTATACAAGCGATGTTGCATATTTTTTTTAACAATATATGCCACGTGAAAAATTGAAGAAAATTTATGTTTGAATTTTATTTTGCTGCATAGTGTTATATTTATCAATTCGAAATGCACGAAAATAACACGCATATAAATAACGTTAATTGTAGTCTTTTAAATATTTTTTTTCAAAAACTTAAATTTTCTTTTAACATTTTCAGTTATTTATATGATTTTCTGCGACAATAGATACTATCATGATTAGAGAGGAGGAACACAAAAAAGGATATAGTGTTTATATGACTAATAGGCACAATTTCTTTCTTTTTTACGTGTTTTACGTGTTATAAGAAATAATACAAGGAATAAAATGATATTCATTCATTAATTTTTGAAGTAGTCACGCAGTTTCGTTCACTGAAGAATCGAAGAAAAAGGAGATAAGAAAATAGGGGGGTGAGAAATAAAAAAAATAAAAAAAATTAAAAAATAATGCACAGGAAAACGCGCAGCAGCGCTTTGGGGATGTATCAGTTTGAGAAAATCTTCCTTGGACAACCAACATTGGCGAATCAAACATCTGACGCCGTTTCCTGTGCGCGATGAATTAAACTCCTGTATTAATTAATAATTTCTCGCGCGTTTAGTACCGGAGACAAGGATGATCGCGTTTGAGTCCTTCTCCGATTGTTTCGTCTCGATCGTACGTTTTCTCAGAGTGCCAAATGAGCAATTGTCAAGAAAAAGCAGCGCTTTAGTGTTTCCTCCATCTTTCTTCCTTCTTTTCCAAGTTTCGTTTTCCAATTCGTACCTTTATCGAATTCGCCACTTTTGACAATGCTGATTAAAAAGCGCAAGTACGGCTGCTTGATCGATGGTGAAAGGAACTTGAATTTCTTTTTCGCAACACGTGCGATAAAAATTTCGAGCGACGTTGGAAGCATCGAAATGGGCTCAATTATCGCTTTTCAAAATGAGATGAAGTCTGGATCTAGAAAATGGAAGTAACGCTGTTTTAAAACATTTCCTTTGCCTTTTTGTGCGAAGTTTGTCGAGACGTGAGACACAAAATTGGCCTTTATAAAAGAAATCACATTTATATACACATTTTTCAAGGTAAGTGGAACATTCTCTTCAAAATTAACGCGACAGCCAGTTTCGAGCCGTTTCAAGTTCCTCGTACGATCGGAAGCGTGTACGAGAAATTTTCCTTAATGACTTATGACGATGTATAATAGATGCATGTGTCACCTATACTCCCTACTGCTTTCAATTTTTAATAAGAATTAGCGATGTGCGCTATTACTCGCTCCTGTGAGTTCCTGTCGCAAACAAAAACGAGAAAGGAACTTAGAGGATCAATATAGTTTCGAAGTTATTCACGCGATTATTATTTATCGTAGCTTTGCACGGATTGACGCGATTACAAGAATTGTTTCAATGCGTGGATTCGTAATAAATAGAATCACAAAAGGCTCCTCGTGTTTACGAAATTTTCCTAAATGCACTTTCTCGGCTATTTTTCAGTTTTACTCGCATTTATTAAATGCATCGATGATAGAAAATTTAAGAATCTTCGAATTTGAAAATTTTGAGAATATTAAAGTGCGAAACGTCCTTTTAGATATAAAACATATCTTACATTTTTCTACTTTAACGTAACTTGATTTTGTTATATTGTTAATGAAAAAATAATCAAAATATATAACAATACAGAATAATAATTCTGTGTATATATATATATATATATATATATATATATATATATGTAAGTTATTAATAATTTAGAACTAATAAATATATAAAGTATCTCAATGTCAATAAGTATAATTTATAGTAGTATTTCAGTATTTCATTGAAAAAAGGAAAAACAGTAGTAACCGTAGGAGCCTTTCTACAGAATTTAGGCAATTTTTGGCAATGGCTGATCATGTTGATGTGTGTCAGCAGCAGGCGTAGATTAGGGGCGAAGCCGAGAATATTTGGGGAGCACCTTAGTTTTTTCTTTTACCATAATTTCGTGCGCGATTACATGTGGAGACAAACATCCCAGTCGGATTCGAATTTCGAGTCGAACTGGTATCGGAGGATCCTCGGAATGATAGAAAAGCGATGAACTTACGGCAAACAAGAAGAATCGTCGCGAAAGGGGAGGGAAAAAAGGATACCTTTTTCGCTACTGACGGTGCCGTAGCAAGCTGCTGCTTTTTTTTCTAAAAGGACAGCAAGTGTCTTTATCATCGATCGTGCATCGACGCACGACGGCGCACTTAGCTCTATAGTTGATAAGGTTAATGTTACATTAGGCTAATCTTTTTTATTCGGATAATTACTATAGCGATTTTGTACTTTTGCTATTTTCACCAACAACGTGGGTTGAACCGCGCGACGAGAAATTATCAGCGAGATCTCGCTGCTGCGACCTATTGCGCTGTAAAATCGCCAACGTTAGCCCGATTCACGAAGATCCGACATAAAAAATATATTGTACAAAGATACAAGCTGGAAAGCGCTATTTTCTAAGGATTATCATGGAAGAGCGGGATTTGCGAAAAATTTGATATTCAAGTAAATATATCCCCCGGTGATTCTCGATGTCATATCTTTTGATAGAAATGACAATCTTTGAAAGACGACACACGCAGATTGTCGGGAGTTTGACGCGAGGTTTTTTATACGAGACATGCTCCACGCAGAGCACAGCACTGTGATATCTTCTTGATCAGACTGACCGGTACGTTATGTTAATTGATGCCGAAATGCAATAAAAGAAGGTGTATTTGTGACAATTTAGTTTAAAAACAAAACAGCAATATAACATACAAATGATATGATTATATAAATGAGAAGAGGGAAAGATTTAACTTTATTAAAATTCCATGTTATTTCACGTAAAGGACGATTTTTCTGAAACATCTAAAAACTTAAACTCTAGCTATAGATATAGATTTAAAAATAATTTTCTTAGATCATCACACACATAAAATAATTTTGTAGGACACTCAAATTGGTTGCGAGAATATCTAAACTTTTTGTAGCATTGCTCATCATGTTTGAGTTTTCTACATAATTACTTTGACAATCCAATAAAATCGTTTTCAGATCTGTATTCATTTAAATTTTTAGATATTTTAACAAAATTCTTTTAGCAAAATTTTTTTCTAAGACGAGTTTGACTTAACGAATTACGAATGTCCTGTATCTCAGGAAGCTAGTCACATTCAGCAAATGGATACGTTATGATTTTTCATAACGTCGACTAACCGTTAGTCTGAATCTCACATAAGCATACCAGTGATTCCGAATGTTTAGCGTTCCGGAAACCTATATGCGCAACAATCGAAAGATAATCCGCCAATAATTCAAGCGTCTTCTCGAACGGGGAATTTCGCTGTTACTCTAAAAAATTCGCAAACATTCAGGCTAACGATAAAGTAGTACAAAGCTATTCGCGTTTTACACGAACCGACACGATTGCAGCATTTCGTGCGTTTCTCATACGCATGAATTTATCCGTTGAAAATTTCTTCTCGTCGCGCCGTTCACCAACGTTCAGTGTCGATCTAGTGAACGTTTTGTATATCAGTGTTTTTTATATGACGACTGGGGTACCAGCAGGGGGTAGCGATCCTGTCGATGACTTTACCGTTCTTTCGAGCGGTATTATCGACCAGACACCTGCCTTCCTCACTACCCGAAGGTTTTACTAAATAATCGATATATCCCGCGTTTGTGAATTTTATATATAATCCGAATGGCGTTCGCGTGGTACATTTGTATGGGTCTAGGAGGACAGGGTTGATGGGAGAGAGAGAGAGAGAGAGGGAAAGAGGGTTGAGTCTCCGTGATGGAGTAGAGAGGTTACGAATGGTTGAATTATGAATAGAGTTTAGTGTAGAGTCATTACTTGAAAAGAAAAGGTTTGAATCATCGATAAATAGTAAGTTTATATATATAGAACGACGGTTTTCTTGTAGTTACGATTTCGCCCTTTCGTTTTCGCCGGTCGTTCACCCGGCTTCCAAAGAGAGGAGAATGATTTAGAAGGAAAGGGGGGAGGGGGGAGGGGAGGAAAAGTGAAGGTGAGATTCTGTTCTCGAGCTTCGGCCTCGAGGTGCGAAGACGTGCGACAACCCTCCCCACAGACCTCCACCTCGGCGCCGGTCGACTTTGAATCGAGCATGACTGGGAACTCGGCCAAGATCGACGTCGGCCTTGAGACAGAAATTCGATCTTCGATCGAGGGAATATTGGAACGTACGCCATTCGCGCTGAGCTGCGAGGGCGACGCGTGCGTCCTCCCTCCGGAAACTCTATATCGGAAGTAGGGGGCGAGAGAGAAATTTCTAGAATCTAACTCTAGAATAGAGGAAGATCGCGCCGCGCCGGTGCAACCGAACGACGTCTTCGAGCAAAATCGGGTAGACGACCGGATGAATCGTCCTAGTGATAAGTTATTGTGTCATATTGTGGATGTCAGAAAACAATTGAGACGAGGGGGAGAGGGAAAATTTTATTACGTACTAATCATAGTAATTATATCGGTTGTTCATCGGAATCCTTTCACGCGGCCTTGACGTGGCCACAGGACGTGAGGGAACTATTTTCTCGTCGGTCAAAGTTCGTTTAAATAATTCGATATATAAAATAAAATAAATGAATAGATGAAGAAATATATATACGTGAAAATATATATATAGATAGATATATATATATATTATATGAAAAATGAATAATACGTACGTTTAAGAATCATCAATTTTTGTCTCTTTAGCGAATAAGGGTCTTTACAGCTGTGCTAGACAACTATAGGTATATATATATATCGAAATATATGTATATATAAATCTATATATACGTACGTTCTCAACGTGTACGTCGCAAAAAAGTGCGAAGCAACGTATACGGGCTCCTTAGAAATATACCGAGAGAAAGAAATCACACACACGCACATTCTGATTACACATATGCAACCGCACGCGTTAAATAAATCACATGAAAACCACAAATGCGAGTTCTATGGTATTGACGATGAGACACGAGGGGCAAGTTTATTTCACTTTCTCAAACCATAAATCGCAAAAGTATGAACAGTGGGATTATAACAGACCTCATCTGATAACACATAGAGATCGCACATCATAATATCTGTTGTTATCGAGATGATAACGGAAAAGATAAATATCAAGAATCCTAAATGTTATAAATATCAAATGGCTGGAACCATTGACGAGGCAAGTTTCCTTTATAATGATTGGGCGCCGATATTTCATCTCAAATATTTATTCGGTGAGCGTATAAGAGCCGAAATTTGCTATGATGTTGAGATAGAAAAGATGATAGCCTGAACAAAATAGTTTGGAGGTTGTACTTCAAATTTGGGCAAGTATATTATACAGAACGTTAAACGAAATCTATGTGAAGTATCGAATGATTTAACACTTTGATCAAATCGAACCCCATTTGACTGATT